CCCTCTCCCTCTCCCTCTCCCTCTCCCTCTCCCTCTCCCTCCCTCTCTCTCTCTCTCTCTCTCTCTCTCTCTCTTTCTCTCTTTGAGACTGTGTGAGGCCTATGTTGCCACATCTTGAGGCAGTCTTGGCCCATCTAGGGGCTATGTTTCCCATATCTGAGACCTAGGTCGGGTCATCTTGCGGCTATGTGTGCCATATCTGGGACTATGTTGGGTCCTCTTGAGGGCCTCTGTCAGATCATCTTGGAGCACATGTTCCGCCTTTGCTGTTGGCGCGTGCCCAACACCCACGAAATGTCGATTAAGCCTGTCCGCGCGGCGCGCGTAACCGACGCCACCGCCGCCCTGTTGGGCGAAAGTCGTGGCCGCCGAAGGCCACGAAACACGGTAAAAAACAATATTTTTGAACACCCTGCGCAAAAAGCCTGGTAAAGACACATAAATCTGTCGACCGGATTCGGGCGGGGGTCGGCCGGGGGTCGGGCGGGGGTAGGGCGGGGGTCGACCGGATTCTCCCCGAGGTCCACCAAAAGGGTCGGCGGCAGGGGCGAGCGTATATAACCTTCGGTTACCAACCGAAGGCCTCCGGCAAGGGAACGTGCGCGTGGCCGGTGCCCGGATTACGCCTAACAGCCGGGCGCCGGCCCACTTGGGTCTGTGGGGCGTATGTCACGCCTACGTTGGCCTTGGTGGGGCCTGTATTGAGCAAAGTCTGGTGCGCATCTTGGCCCTAGATTGCCAGAGGCTCACTCCCAAGGCTCCGGCAATCTGTGTGCCAGCAGCTCCGTCCCAAGGCTCCCGGCTGAGGTGTGCGTGCAGCCGCAGCGGAGGTTTCGGGGGTTGCAAACGACACCATTAATTTCTACCCACAACAGCGGTCGGAACGGGGGGGGAGTGCAGCCAACCAAAATGCCTGGCACGTCGTCTTCGGGAGCCCATAAAACAGTTGCCTGGCGTTGCCAGAGGCTCACTCCAAGGCTCCGGCAATCTGTGTGCCAGCGGCTCCGTCCCAAGGCTGCCGGCTGAGGTGTGCGTGTAGGCAGAATGCAGCCGCAGCGGAGGGTTTCTGGGGGTGGCAAACGACACCATCTATTTCTGCCCACAACAGCGGGGGGGTGCAGCGAACCAAAATGCCTGACGTCGGCTGGCACGTCGTCTGGCACGTCGCCTTCGGGAGCCCATAAAACAGTTGCCTGGCATTGCCAGAGGCTCACTCCCAAGGCTCCGCCAATCTGTGTGCCAGCGGCTCCGTCCCAAGGCTCGTGCTGAGGTGTGCTGGGCAGAATGCAGCCGCAGCGGAGGGTTTCCGGGGTGGCAAACGACACCATCTATTTCTGCGCCAACCAAATGCCTGACGTCGCCTGGCACGTCGTCTGGCACGTCGCCTTCGGGAGCCCATAAA